ACTTAAAATGCACAACAAACAAACAAACAAACAAAAACAAACCCCAAAACAAAACCCCAGCAACAACCCAAAACACACAGGTGGGCTTCTTCACTTTGTAAACATCCCTTCACTTTGTGTTGATATCTTCCCAGGCCCAAGCAGAGCACGTTAAGGTTTCTATTTGAAATAAGGGCATAGAGGAATTATTTGAATGTTAGTTATTTGTATGTAATATTCCTATTTTGATAAGGGCTCCCGATTTAAAAAAAACCCATGAATCTGAATAATTAAGCAAACGACTGGTAAAACATTTTGATTAAGAGTTGTCATCAAGACATCTATTGCATGATTATAAAATAATGGGAGATGTGGAAAAGGGGAGCCTTAGTTTATAACTTTTGCCTAACATATCTGAATTACAAAATGCTATGAGATCACCTTATAAGCAGTGTTAATAAATGTATGCTTGTTAAAAAGTCATAACAATATTATAGTTTTTATAATATTTTGTAGGCATATTATAAAAAACAGCATGTGTGTGTGATGTGAGCACGAGTAAATACACATTACATAACCCCTTCCCAGTTGTGGAAGGAAGTCCTGAGGAAAACATGAAGCCAAAATATCTAGGTACTTATTTCTTTTAATATTTAAACTAGTAATACCAGCAAGAAACTAAATGAATTCAATTAATCTTATGCTTTGCTGACTGTTAAATTTATAGGAATAAATTGAGCAGTGAGAGGAAAGAAAATGGTCTATGTTTTGTAGAAGTAATGCTCAGCTATGAAAACTGATTCCCTTTTTTTTTCCCCAGACGCTCATGTGCCCTTAGAGAACAGTTTGCTGTTTTAAAAATGAAAAGGGTGGACAAGATTTATTAATACCTTACATATTTTAATTGTTTTCCATCTTAAGTGCATGCAGCAATGCCTGCAAATTGGTAATCTAATTTATGGCATGCTTTAAAGTATCTTGAAATTAATTAAAAGTGTTCTAGCTAAATATTGTATCTACATAAAACACGCCTAATCTTAGGCCAATTTGTCAAGTTTTACCCTCCAGTCCTTTGTAATCGAATTGTTTGTTAACCTATAAAAGCAGATTTTCAAAACAGAAATTTTAATACATAATGATCAAAGATACTAAAAATGCCTATAAAGTGTAAAATAAACAAATCTCAATAGTTAATGAACATAAGAGCAAATCTATTCATTTTAACTCAAAAATGTATTATCCATT